CACCCAGATCGGCCTTGCCGGTCAGAGAAATTTTTAAAGATTTTTGTTGATAAAAAGCTACCGTTCCCATACGAATACGTGTCATTTCGTGAATTAATTTTTCAAAAACTGTGAAGCTGAGGAGTCTAAAATTTAAACATGTTTCTGATAAAATTTGTAGTTAAAATTTTTTCAAAACATTCCTAAAATTTGTAACTTTACATCAGAATCCCCTTAATACATACTATATGAATTTGAAGTCAAATATTCACGATCAATATAAATAGAGTATTAATTATTTATAAATTCATAATTAATAACTTGTTTATTATAATTAATAGTAATTTTTGTAGTCTATCAAGCAATACAAGAATTTATTTAAAAATTTTTTTTTTAAATATGCTTACTCTTAATTGATTTGAAATAAGGCCAATATCCTCATTGATAATAAAAAAAATACTAAAATGAAGTGTAAAAAAAATTTTCTGAACCATGAACTACAAAAAATTTTTTTATCAATGAAGTTGTTTTTGTTTACATTGATAAAAAAAAATGTAGCTCAATTTATCAAAATGATAATAATACAATTTTAATTTACTTGTAAGTAAAAACCGTTAAATAAAATAAAAGAATAAAAAAGCAACTTGACTGTTTTATCTCTAAAATTGTTCCAGAACTAATGAAATGTCATCATCAATGAGATTTAATATTAATTTTTGCTCATTCATTTGTTTTCAAAGATCATTTTGCTTTTTCATGCTGATAGCGATTACAAAATCAGTCAGAACATTACTAAGCTTTATTTGAGATCATAAAATTGGCTGGTATACGTCAGGAAAGGAAAAGTATAAAATTGGAAAGAAACTAATAAATGATAAGATACTTCCATACTGTAGATAACCTCTGTCAACTTTAAACTGTGAATGTTAGATCAAGCGATACATACATAAATTTTTTAATTTATAGTCTAATCAATACATGTTATTAGCCAAATAATATTACACATAATAAATTGTAAATTTTAAATCAAAAAATTTTTTTTTAAGTTTTACATGCATAGAAAAAGTATTTTCTCTTGATTCAAAAAAATTAAATTTTTTTCATGATGTGAACTATTAAACCATGTTGTATGTAATGTGATAAATAATTTTCATAATAAGATTAAGGCATTTTCAGATCTTCCCCCACTACTTTGTATCGTTCTTATATAGCTCGAATTGTTTCAAAATCTCTCACTCGCGTTTTTCCTTTGGAACTCAAAACTTCAGGCTTTTGCGTTCATTCGAAGACTGACACAATGGCTACTGCTAAATTTAAGGACGACTCGCCTTACCTTAAAAAAACCCAGCCCGCAGCTGAGGATTACCTCTACGCAAAGTAAGTTTTTAAACAAAAGTATTGACTTAAAAAAACGAGCAAATGTAGTATACTTAGAAAGAGATTTTAATCGTACAATTTTAATATAGTTTTTACCTATGATTTTCACTTTGATAATATTTAATATCATGCTGAAATATTTATCAACATATTTTATAATATTGTCATTCTTAATATTAAATTTAATTTTGATAAAATATTTTTTTTTTATTTGATTGAATTAGGTCCTCATAAAAATAATATTGTATCATCATCATCACCATAAAATTCAATTATTTTATAAATTGTGCAATTGGTTCAAAATCAGATACGTGAAGGATTGTGCTATGAAAGGTGACAAATCAAAAGATCGCGTCATCGGAGTCGCGATTTTCGGCTTAGGTCGCGCTGGCACCATTCATTTTTCAAACTTAATTAACAACAGTCGTGCAAAAATCTTATACATCGTCGATGATTTGGAATGTAAATCGGCCGACATCAAGCAGTACTGGAACCTTGAAAATGTCATTATTCTCCACAGTAAAGATGCTGATCGCGTTTACAAAGATCCAAAGTAAGTGTTAAGTAACTGATAAAATTTCTTACAATTTTTATTAATGTTCTTTTTGTGATGTACCGAATAAACAACAAGAAACCCTTCATACTTGGAAAAACATTCCATAGGTAAATTAGCGTTTCATTTATAATTTTTTTTTTGTATATGTAGTTAGAAAATACAAAGTACGAGTGTAAATATGAAGAATGAAATTTTTATGAAGAATAATAATTGCCTGGTGCGATTTAAAAACTAGAAGTTGAACGTTCATTTAGTCGGTGCGATGATTGGACAATTTATATATGTAAGGTAGTTGTACCTTTTTACTGATTTTTTTAGCAATGATTTTAATACAAAGTGTTTTTTTTTTTTAATCTTCTGTATCATAATTTTTGAATGATAAGAAGAAACATTTTTGGTTAAATAAAAAAGTATCAACAGCAAGGCTGTTATGTATGTTCATGTATGTATATGTGTAAGTGTGTGTGAACTTTTGTAAGTATATGTTCTATAGTGCAGACTCCTAATAAAAACTGCAGAAAGATGCTCGCTAACTAGGCTAAGTATGCGTAGAAAATGTAGATAAATATTCGAATATAGACGAGTTATAAGCGACGAGATGATAAAGCGATAGTAATCTATGGCGAGCAGCCGTGCTAGCAAGACCTTGAGTTTATGCAAATTTGGTACGATTTTATTCTAGAAAAAAAAAGTTCATTAGGTTGTTGTGCAATTTCGCTACTTAACGACAAAAATAATTGTACTAGTTTAAGTGTAATCCTATATTATTTAAATATTACGTTATACCAATATTAATATATTAAAAATATTGTTAAAAAAATCTGGTTTTTCTTTATTTTATCCATGATTCCTCTCATTTTATGTTGAAATAAGTACGGCTTATTGAAAACTAGTGTAAATATATCAACAAAGAAATTCGACTTCTGGCGGAGATCGAATCAACATTTTGACAGTAAGAAGCTTGGATTTTTATTGATAAGGTCGTAGAGAATATTTAAAATGTTTATACCATCACGTTTGAATTTGAGTCGTTCTCATGATGGTTCACATATATAATTTTTGCTATCGATTTTTTAGCATGAAAAAACGAATAGACAAATGATAGTTTTTATCCTCAGAAATATTAATATATCGAACGTAAAAATACTTCCGAGTTTTTGAGAAACAGCGAGAAGGTAAATGAAAACAGTCGTTCCTACGAAAAGCAATGAATGGTGGGACCCAAAAAATTATAGTAGGATAGTTAATAAATAATCATTGTTTTACAATGTGCCTCTTTTACACAATGGGCACGACTTTTTCTAGTCTAGTTACAAAAATTAAATGCGTCGTTTATGATAGCTTAAACTGAGAAAAGGTACCAAAAAGCTGATATTCCTATTGGCTTTTCTAACACCATATTTCACGTGGTACAAAAAATCTCATTATTAAGCACAAATTGCTAATATGACGTATAAATATCAAACTATACGTATCACCGCATACGTGCACTACATTATAGATTATATTTCTTGTTGGTATGTTTGGATATATCAGTGCCCTCCGGTGAATTTGGAAATTCAAAGTGATCAGTGATCCGTTGGGGGCGAAATGTGAGAAAATAAATAAATACAAGTAAAGTATATTTAAATT